AATGAAAGCATGTATATTATAATAAAGTCAAACACTGTAATCATCAATTTTTGAAACTAACGTCTGTCTTATAAACATTTGTTTCCTCTTTTTCTCCAAAGATTTGAGTTTAGTTATGCTCTAAAAGGAACTTTAGTTGCTTATGTTAAGCTAGATAAGCTTAAAATTCACTAAATATCAGCAAAAAGTATTTTTTTAAAATTTACTTATTTATTTGAAAGTCAGAGTTACACATAGAGAGGGAGAGAGAGAGCAAGATCTTCCATCTACTGGTTCACTCCCTAGATGACTGCAATGGCCAAAGTGGGTCAACCCAAAAGTAGGAGCCAGGAGCTTTTTCTAAGTCTCCCATGTGGGTAGCAGAGGCCCAAACACTTGGGACATCTTCCACTGATTTTCCCAGGTCCTTGGAGGTGATCCAAAATGGAGTGTCAGGGACTCAAATCAGCGTTCACATGGAACACTGTTGTCTCAGGTGGTAACTTAGGCTACACTACTGTGCCAGCCCCAGCAAAAAGGTTTTTTTTTAAAGATTTATTTATTTATTTGAAAGTCAAGAGTTACACAGAGAAAGAGGCAGAGAAAGAGAGAGAGACAGAGAGAGGTCTTCCATCCACTGGTTCACTCCCCAATTGTCCACAACAGCTGGAGCTGTGCTGATCCAAAGCCAGGAGCCTTGAGCTTCTACCAAGTCTCGCACATGAGTGCAGGGGCCCAAGGACTTTGGCCATCTTCTATTCCTTTCCCAGGCCATAGCACAGAGCTGGATAGGAAGTGGAACAGCTGGGACTCGAACTGGCGCCCATATGGGAAGCTGGTACTGTAGGCGCAGCTTTACCCATTATACCACAGCATCAGCCCCAGCAAAAAGTTTTTTTTTAACAAAACATTCTGCATAAGAATATATTTATGATTTTCATATATTTAATCGACTAAAAACTAAAAGCCAGCTCCAAATTTTCCTTGGCAGGCAAACATAGCAAAAAAATTAAAGCAATCTGTTTTCTTGAGCATATAAAAGAGTATCACCTCTGCCTAGTGCATTGTAAAGTCCTGTACATCCATATGTGATTAGTAATACAATCAGTAAGTCTAATTACTTTTTTGAGGGAATGAGAATGTGACCATCAGATTGTGAAATAATTCAAGTGATTCATGTACATACAACATATCACATGTGCAAAAGCAAGTCAAACACAAGAAACATGATCTTGATGCTCCAGAATAAAAAATGAAATATGAATGTGGAATGACTAACAAGTAACTAAGCACTTACTCATTTGAAATGAATATGTCATGACAAATATGAAAAATATGTATTAAAAACACTTCTGTACTCAGATACTCTGCAAGCAATATTGTGAGATATTTCCCCACTAAACCCAATGAAACTGAAGAAAGTAAAATCAGAATGCACTGTTTCTTACTTGTTGACTCAACACACATTGACCAAATTCCACACAAAGTAGAAAATGACACAATCCCTGTAGTTCTAGAATTTCTAGAATTCTCCTGCTACAGGACAGAGAAATAGACACAAATAACACATCCGTGTGGTACGTCTCACAACTGAGATGCAGAAACTGAGTGCAATAGAATCACAAAAGTGGAAGAACGTAATCATGCCTACTGACATTACAGCATATTTCATCAAGAAGGTCAACTTTAAATGGCTAGAGCTGTGGTGTAGCAGGTGAACCACTGCCTACGATGAAAGCATTCCATATTGGAGTTCCAGATCTAGTGTGCCTGGGAAAGCAGCAGAAGATAGCTCAAGTCCTTGGGTCCCTACCACACATGGGGAAGACTGGGATGGAATTATGAGCTTCTGGCTTTGGCCTGAACCAGCCACACCTATTGCAGCCTCTGTGGAGTGAACCAGCAAATGAAAAGATCTCTTGCTGGTTTAGCGGTGTTGTCTATGTGTGGTTTGTTGTTTGTGTTAGCTGTGCAGGTGTGATCCTTTTAAAAAAAGCTTCATTGTTGGCAGTATGTCTTTCAGAAATTCTCAAAACACAATGTGCACCATATTTGATGTGAAGTTTTATCAATGTATATCTTATTGGACATTAAATATAAGTTCCTCTGGGGGAAAAATAAGAGAGAGAGAGAAAGAGGAAGGAAGAAAGAGAGGGAGAGAGAGAAGGAGGTATGGAGGGAAGAGAAAGAAAAAGAAAAGAAGAAAAGAAAAAAGGGAGGGAGGGAGGGAGGAAGAGAGAGAGAGAGAGGGAGAGAGAGAGAGAGAGACTGAGTTGAGTAAAACCTAGAAGAGAGTAACAGTTTGCCCAGCATACTGAGGAGCCACCAAATGATATGTAATCCTTTGTTTATTTATGTTGTCTGTTAAATTTTTTTTCATACTATTTGCTGAGCTCTTTACTTAATGTAGAATTAATCATATGTGTATAAAGTTTATTGAAAATAGATCTTAGTAAAAAGTAAGAGTGGAAATAGAAGAGGGAGGAGGAAGAGGGGTGGAAGAATGGGTGGGAGGGTGGATATGGTGGGAAGAATCACCATGTTCCTAAAGTTGTAATTATGAAATATATGAAGTTTGTATTCCTTAAATGAAATGTTTCTGGGAAGAAAAAAGTAAATGACAACATTTGGACAAAAATACTTTCTGTTCATCAATGGAAATTTGAAAATAAGGAAAACAAAAAAATTAAACCACCTTTAAGTCTACCTGCAAAGAACCACATACATGGTTTATGCCATGGGTTTCTTTTTTTTTTTTTTAATTTATTTGACAGGTAGATTATAGACAGAGAGAGAGAGAGAGAGAGAGAGAGAGAGAGAGAGAAAGGTCTTCCTTTTCCATTGGTTCACTCCCCAAATGGCCGCCACGGCCAGCGCTGCACCAATCCAAAGCCAGGAGCTAGGTGCTTCCTCCTGGTCTCCCATGCAGGTGCAGGGCCCAAGCACTTGGGCCATCGTCCACTGCCTTCCTGGCCCACAGCAGAGAGCTGGATTGGAAGATGGGCAGCCAGGTCTAGAACCATATGGGATGCCGGCACCACAGGCGGAGGATTAGCCAAGTGAGCCACGGCACCGGCCCCCTATGCCATGGGTTTCTAATAGCTTTGTAGTGTTACTGATCTTAAACAATGAACAACAAATGAGACAGTGCCCAATTTCCCTGTGATGGAGCACATTTCCCACAGCTCTCACCCGAATTTTCTTCACGTATTTTTCACAACAATGCATTCTTCTCAGATTGGATTCCTTCAGAGCGATTAAATGTTCCCTTGACTTGGCAGACATTTCTTTGATTTTATGCTGGGTGGTTGGCACTTTTTACTTTTGGCACTAATAAAGGTAGTTATCTTTTTCATTGTTATTGTTTCCTATTCTTGTTTATCTTCAGACATACTGATCCCTTCTTGAGAAAGGGTGTAGAAGCTTGCTCTTTAAAAAAGCATCGTCACAAATCTAGAGCACATTTTCTTCTTTTAGTGCAGAACAAGTACAAGGAGTGGCACTGCTGGGTCAAGAAGTACTGTTTAATGGTGTCTGACAGATAGGGCAAATTGCTTTCTAAAAAATGTCAATTTTCTGGCAAGTATTGTGGTGCAGTGGGAAAGCCACCTGTGATGCCAGCATCCCATATGGACACAGTTTTCGTGTCCTGACTGCTCCAGCTCCTTGCTAATGGCCTGGGAAAAGCAGTGGAGGACAGCCCAAGTGCTTGGGCACCTGCTGCCAATGTAGGAGACTCAGAAGAAGCTCCTGGCTTCAGCCTGGCCCAGTCCTGGCCATTGTGGCTCTCTGGGGAGTGAACCAGTGGATGAAAAATCTCACTTTATCTCTGTCTCTCTGTCTCTCTCTCTGTCTCTCTCTCTCTCTCTTTCAAACAAAATGCATAGATCTTTTAAAAAAGAAAAAAGAAAGAAAGAAAAAGAAAAATGCCAGTTTTTATTCCTACTAGAAGTATTTTAAATGCTATTTTCTTGCATGCTTAATAACCTGGGATATTATCTTTCAAATTTGCAAACAGTTGAAGGGTTTTAAACAGCCATGGTGATAAAAATAAGACTGAACTTTGTTGTTGCTCCTGCAGTACAGAGGATAAGCTGAACATGTGGGCCTCTTGTGGTTTATAGTCAGGAAGACAAGGCAGGTAGTTGGTGCAATAATCTAGATGATAAATAACAACAAAAATGTGGCAGAAGGAAGAAAAGAGAAGGAAAATAATTTGGGATAAGGTAAGATACATGAGTACAAATATTATGACCAGAACAGGATGTTGGCAAGGGAGAGTTCAAAAATAATTTGGAAAATTACTGCTATCTATAAAGCACTCTATACTCATTAGCTCATATAAATCTCAGAAGCACGTTTAGATGGTAAGTGTTATTATTCTGAATTTCAGATATGTAAAAGTTTGTAAGGATTTTTACCCACTTGCGTTTCACACTCTAGGCTGGTTGTTTCCCCTACATCACACTGTGCTACACCAGCTCCTAAAATGATGTCTGCTTTTCTAACTTGAGAATCGTGGTGAAGAACCCATTAACCAACCTGAAAAAGTGAAGATAAAGAGACAGTGAAGAAAGAAAGATAGTAAACACAGCCATGCATTGAATATGAAGTGCTTGTGAGACATACAGTTGTGGGATGAAGTACAGAAATGGAAATATGCATTTGGAATTTAAGTGGGAGAACTGATTCATAAATTTTAAAATTGGATAGTTTCAGGATACTGCTTTCACAAAATATATCTGGATCACTAAGTAAGGCAAACTACTGTGAATTGTATGTATCAAATATACTATGTGAGTATAGATTATATTTATCAATATGATTTCCTTCCCTCAAGTGAACTGCCTCTACAAAAGATAATATCTAATCTATATACTCTGTCCAGAACAATATTACTCATGGTGAAAAAGAAAAGACCGGGAGGGAGAAGGCAGAGAGGAATATCCTGTAAAGGAGAGATGTTTGCAATGTGTAAACTGAATGAAGTTGCTAAAAAGTGAGCTTTAAAATTATCTGTGTTGCAAATATTCTCGTTCTGATTTTGTAATAATCAGGACAGGCTAAACATTTGCTATATTAAGACCATTCATGTGTTCCCCAGACCTACTTCTTTACCTATGTCTGGTCTTACAAATGCTGGTGACAAAATAGAAAAATATGAAAAAGAAAAAAATCTGTGTGGACAATGTTTAGAAGATGTGGCCAAAGAAGAAAAAGAAAGAAATCTTTCGTTAAGCATGACATGTCAGAATTTGGCTAACCTCTTCTCTAGCCAAAAAGAGCATGCAAGTGAATTGAAACCATTCACAAATTTAGGCAAAAGGTCATAGCTGATTAAAACAATACTGAATGTTTGGCATTTTTACATACTTTTAAAATAATCAGATCTTCATTAGGTCAATAATAATACAATTACTTTTTTCTTACCCAAAATCTTTAGCTTATTGCTTTTCCAGATCAGAATATTTCTACTTGTTTGTAGAATTGATCATTCATTTATCCATGTCTGTTGTATGTAGCACAATATAACTTTTTCTTAGACTTCCTACTTTCTTTTGTGATATTTCATCATTTCTAGTAATCTACTCAAATTTATGTAAAATATTCAGAAAATGTGCAAATCAGCTGCTTTCTGTTATCAGTTATCATCTTCAATAGAAAGAAAGATAACACTAATGCCTACCATTTGTGGTTTATTTTCATGTCTTTGAAAATGGCATGAAAATAACAGAAATAAGTTAACCAAATTTTAGTAGTCATAGATGCAATAATTTAAAAACAATGTTATTTGGAAAATAAATAAATAGTAACAATCTAATGGCTTCCTGTCAAGTACTTTCCTAGTTTCTGTTACTCAAATTTTACCAAATATCCTCACTTCATATTTTTTATGTATTTGTTTTTGTTCTTGTTTTATATAAACGCCTCTTCCTAGTAATAGAAATTAAAAATCATGGGGCCAGTGTTGTGGTATGGTGGATTGAGCTCCAGCTTGTGACACTGGCATACCATATTGAAGTTCTGGTTTGAGTCCTGGCTGCACACTTCCAGTTCAGCTCCCTGCTAATGCACCTGGGAAGGCAGCAGAAGATGATCCAAGTATTTGGGACCTGTCATCCATGTGGGGAACAAGGACAGAGTTCCTAGCCTCCGGCTTCGGCCTGACTCAACCCTGGCTGTTATGATTATTTGAGGAATGACCAAGTAGATGGAAAGCCTCTTTCTCTCTCTGCTTCTCTCTCTCTCTGTCTTTCTCTCTCTCTCTCTTTCTCTCTCTGCATTTCAAATAAATAAAATAAAATCTTTTAAAAAAAAGCAAATTAAAAATAACATCTGTAATTCTTTTAATTTTCAAGCTTTAATGAAACCTATATAAAATATGAAAGAAAATGAATTGCAGAATTGTTATAATGTTCCAAATAGTAAGTGGCCATCCAGATAGATATCCTCTTTTTCTCTTTATTTTTGACATATTTTATTTTCTATATATTCCTAGTTCTTGTAAACCTCTACAATGATAATGATAATGTATGGAATTCTACATTGATAATCTATGCTTCTGTAAGTGGACTGGCAGACTAACAGCAAAAAGAAAAATTAAAATAATATTTAATAAAATTAAAATGTTAATAGATATCAGTAAGTAGTACTTATAAATTAGTAACTATTAACTAGTATTTCATTATTTTCATAAGAATCCAATACTATCAATTAGATTTTGCTTTTATTTTGATAAATAATGACATTTTGATTATGTGAAATGTATCAATCAGAGTTTGAATCAGCACATGACTGTTGTGTTCTGACAGTGGTAGGGGTCATTAATCAGGCAACATGACAATAGGTGCAAATCAGCCTGTTCCAGGCAAACTGGATTTGCTGCAACTCTCCCAACAATTCCCTGTCTTTGAGATTTTCTTCTAGGAGAAAGTCAAGTGACAAAAACAATATACTTTCTGTCAGCAACCCATATCAAGAATATTTAACTTTAAAACTTTAGTTTTGGTTTCTTGTAGTTGATCTTGTTAGATTTTTTATGTCAACCATCGCATCCTCTCTATTGTCCCTTCCTTTTTTATACCTATAGAACTTATTATACGATTTATATTTATTGCTAATGGGCAGCATTCCTCTTTGTCCTGAAGGTTCATTTTTTCTCAAATTCTACCTTGTATGTTGCTGTTAATTAGTTTAAGCCACTTCGATATTCATTTAGGATGTGTATATACTCTCTTATGTTATATTTTCTGCTAACCTTACTTCCAAAACAAACTTGATTCATATCACATAGGAGGCTTTGTCCAGTCTTCAGCCCTTCCCTAGCCTTTCATGTGAGCACCCATTGAGATCCATAGAAAGGAGTCTGTGAATTGATATTATTTCCCCTTATGTCTGTAATTTGCAGTGTTCCTATACTCTCATACTGGTTCACACCTGGCCCTTAGTGGTTTGTTAAAAGTTTCTTTGTTTTGACTGCATACATGCATATTTATTTTTGAAATTTATTTGATTGAAAGGGGAAGAGCACTCTCTTCTCTTTCCAAGTATCCACAGTGACCTGGGTATGGCAGGGTGAAACCAGAGTTGGGAGCTCAATCCCGGTCCCTCTGTAGGTAGGAGACATTCAACTACTTGAGCCATTGCTGTCTTCCAAGATATGCTTCAGCAGGAATCTGGAAATTGGGAGAAGAGCCTGGACACAAACTCAGGCACTCCAATTTAGGATGTGGGCAGCCTAACCAGCATCTCAACTGCCACACCAAATGCCCACCTCCATATACCAATTTTAGAGCAGATTTTAAGTCATCTAAAAACTGGCAGCAGCTTTTACCTGCTTCTCTGATGGTCCTAGCTTCTTCCTGTACTCAACTCCAGGTAAACTAATCCTCACAACTGTCCTCTATGGAAATGTCTGCATTTTCTTGGACTGCAGGCTATCAGCTGCCTTGTGTCAGTTTTATAATGGGCTCAAAACATTTATAACTTTGATATTACAGTAGGAGTTTGTTATTTCCAGCTTTCTGCATTGTAAGCAAAAGCTAGACACCTCTTCATTAATTTTTAACTTTTTATGCCTCTTAAAGGCTCGATAAGATAGCTACTTCTACTCTCCTTATCACTTACTTTTCCTTTTATATTTTCCACCTTTGTATCTACCCACAATGCCTTTTGGAAAAGTTTCTTGAACTAATTGCTTTTGTCATGAATTCATTCTTTAGCCTTAACCTTTTATTAATTTATCTTCTCTATCAAGTGCTTTATTTCGTATTATTTTAGGTCCAATATTTAGACTTGGTTCTTTTTTTAAATTTCTTTTATAATACCCATACCCTCCTCTGTTTCTTGAGAATATTTATTTTGTGCACATTTTGTTCATAGTAGGCCATGAAATTACTTCTAGTATGAATTTTGTAGCAGTCTTTCTTTTATAATGGTGATTTGGCCAAATTTTTGTTTTTCTTCAACATTGCTATTTTTTTTTAACTTTTATTTAATGAATATAAATTTCCAAAGTACAGCTTATGGATTACAATGGCTCCCCCCCCCATAACTTGCTATTCTTTTAAGGGATAATCTACCTCAGCTGGTAATATATGCTAGGAGCTAAATCCTTACCTATGTTCTTTTTTGAGAGTTCAAGGAGGAAGAGCAGAAATGGAGGAAACATCTCAAGAGACAGAACTTTTCATGTACTATTGTCCAAGCCTTTGTGATAGTGGAAATGTTCTATATTTGTGATCTCCAATATAACACGGGACTCTTGATTCCTTCCAATGTGATCAATGGGATTGAAGAACTGAATTTTTATTTTATTTTAATAACCAACTGTAACTAATGACTATCACATTAGACTACATAGCTCTAGTGCATGGTTGAATTTTACCAAAACTCCACCTTGAGTCTTATTTCCCTAGAGATAAAGTCTGAGATGAAGACTTTTCTGCATGTGATTTGTCAAGCAATGCTTTCAGGAGAAACAAGAGTGAAGAAAGCTAGAAATCAATGGGAAAAGAAGCAAAGCAAGAATGAAATCTCAGCTGGAAATTATTTTCAGTCTTATCCTTGAGAAAACACGAAAGCACAAGTTGTACCACAGTTAGACTGACCTTGAGGCAAGAAGCCAGCATTTTATGCTTCCATGCACAGAGGAGACTTAGGTTGTTGCTTCCCAGGCAGGCAATTCTTGCCAAGGACAATTCCTCAAAGGAAGGGCAATGATAATGTGCATTGTTATCAGCAAATAAATACTAGAGCAACTGAGTGATAAGTGCACTGGGTGGTAAAAGCAACTGTTTTCCCTACATCCTCAATTTGTCATCCTTCTTGTAAGCTGCTCCACCCTTGACAGTACTCAGCTGTACTGTTTTTCCCTAGTCCCTGCTGTTTTGTAAAATTCCACAATTTTCTTCTCTAATTGTAATTCTATCACCCGTGGAGCATGGCAGATGTGAGAAGGAAGGATAAGAATCTACTTGGACTCCAGCCTGTCTGTAGTATTGCTGTCTTCTCCTCACCCCTACCAGGTTCCTTGACTCAATTGGCACTGGATATCCTTCCTTGTAAACAAAAGGATAGGCAATGATCTGTCTCCACAGCAACAGTAGGAAAAAAAGAGAACAACTGAAATCACCATCTCATCCTGTCTGGCATCCATTATTTTAGATCCTCTCCAATACTGGGCTTCAATTTCACACACGTACTGGCCATAGTTGCCTTCTCAAAAAACAGTCACAGATCCCATATTACATTTTAAGATTTACCTAGCACCTTTTCACTTGGGTGGCATCTTGAGTATTTTATTCAGGAAAAAAAACAGGGTTGTTCTCCTTTGTTCCTCATCTTTGTGAAATAACTTTTCACTAACAATAAAAAAGATATTTGTTTGATATCAAAACAACCTTCAGAATATAGCTCTTATATTTTAAAAATATATGGTGGCTCACACTCCAGAGAAAATAGGCCAGAAGCATGGCTTTAAAATCCAGCCCCAGAAGCATACAAATGATTTTAATAAAGCATCTTAAAATTCTGGTAGCCTACCTTAACAATAGTTTCTTTCACATCACTACATAACAAAACACTAAAGTATCAAAAATGTACTTAACTGCATGAATCTTTTCCTCAGTCTTGAAGATTAAGAATGGAAG